TTTAAGGAGTTTGGACTATAGCTCTAGCGGTGACTCCTCCGAAGCCGGCTCTGTGACACCAAGGCCAAACAGCTGAGCAAGCCTGTACCAAGGCCGTTTGACAGCATCTTCCCTTTAAAGGGGGGTTTAGGGTTTAGGGTTTAGGGTTATAGGGGATATATGGGGTATAAGGATAGATAGGGATATATATGGTTATATAGGGATATAGGGGATACATGAGGTTAGAAGGGATATAAAGCGTTTTCTAGGGAGAATGGAAAAATGAGAACTAGTGCTTAGGTTTTAGGGCTGAAGGCAGCTTAGAGCTTCCCGCTCTCCGGCTGGGTGAGTTTCCATTCATGATGGGACACGGCAAAAGCCTAGGTCATCAAAGCTGCATCTCAGAGCGGATAACAGCAGCTACTGCAGAATTAAAATAAAAAAATGGAAGTTGGTAATAATATGAAGAACACCAATAACAAGAATGATACTAATAATATCTGCTTTTGGCCTGCAAGCGGAGCAGCACGGAATGCTTGGCCCTGGCCAAGGGGGCTCCCAGGGTGCCAGGACCCAAGGCTTCTGCAAGCGCCCTTCTCAGGTGCGCGAAGCCGGACGGCCGGCGCAGCTGCAAAGGGAGCCAATGCCATTCTTTTGCCGAAATATATTTTCCTGTGTAATCCCTATGTAATATGTATATATTTATACATTCCCCACTATGAAAACTGAAGTGTTCGATGTCTTGAGGAACTCACATACTCCATACCGGAGTCCTTGACTTGAACCACACCTTTGGACACAACGTAAACACACTAGGACTCGTCCTCTGGTGTTGATGACACTGGCTGCAAGAGTCACGCGCGGGCAATCACAAAGTCAAAGCTCCGAAGAAAAGCGGAAAGAACCTTTGGCAAGTGTTGTCAAGCTATCACTTGCCTGAAGACTTAGAACAGAAAGAGACCCACCTTCAAATGGCAGACAATGACTGTCCAGACTCTCGCACTGCCAGAACATGGGCAATTCGACGCCACCTATGAACCAGTCTACGACAAGATCAGGCCACTACAATTCCATATGGTCAAGGTGGCAGAGAGAATGTTGGCGTGCAAATTTTACACAGCATAGTGGGCTGCGTTCAGGATGGGCTCCTGTTGTGTGAAACGTGGAGCGTCGAGTCTATGACATGACCTACTGGGCCACATTTACTGCAACGCGGCTGCTTTTGTACATTGTGCATACCTCCCTGAATTTCAGCAAAAGGCAAACATCTAGGGATAATGGAGAATCAAATGGAAAAGAAAATGGAAAATGAAATGGAAGCTAGGATACCAGCAGGTCAAGTACATAGACCTCCGGCCCAAGCGTCGTAGCTTTGGTGTTTCTACAACGAACCCAGGCCGGGCCTGTAAGAGACTGGCTCAAGCCCACAGCTGCAGCCCAGAGCCCTTCTGAAAAGAGATCTCCGACTTCCCTTGTAACCTACTAGTTTCCATGTTATTGTTCCTTCCTTTCAACCTCTCTTCATATTTCTATGTATTCTTACTATTCATTGTTACTACTTATCAGTATCTATTGCTATTTATCTTCTCTTGGTGCATTTGGTGCTGCAAAGCCACGGGCTGCAGTCCAGGCTGAGGCCACCAAGGTGCAGTTACCCGCATCTTCTTGTTGTTACTTTGGGTGTCTTCAAATCATTGCTATAAACCCATTAAACCCTACATCCCGAACCCCTAAGCCCTTAACCCCTAAACCCTAAAGCCGAAAATCTAAACCCTACTGAGGGCCCCCCTCTAGAAACGAACCGCCTACTCACAAGGCTTTTGGATCACCATGGCAGCGGCCCGCTTCAACAAGCCTGCCAGGCCGTTGGAAAAAGTGCTCAACAGGTACTACATAAGGTTTAGGAGTTGGGATTTAGTTTTTTTTTTTGTGGGACCTTTTCTCCAAGGGCTACAGGATTTAGGGTTTAGGGTTCAGGATTTTGGGTTTCAGGCGCCTATTGGGGTTACATAGCGTTCTAGGGAGATGATCTAAGGCTATGTAGGGATCATCCTGGGACTCTACTGCCCTAAACCCTAAACCCTACAAACCCCGGTACAAACCCTGAAGCTTAGGACCACATAGGGTTGATATGAGTGAGATATAGTCTAAAGTCCTAGTATCCCTCTTAGTAACCCCGATAATGCTCCCCGATAAGTCCCCTATACAACCCCCTTTCAGGAGTGTAGACTATAGTAATTTCCATGTTCTTTTCTCTCCCTATATAGCCCCAATATGATGTACTGTAGTGGTTTCCATGTTCTTTTCCATTATCCCCGTATAGCCCAGCTTACTATAGTACATGGTGTGGTTGTAGCTGTAGAAGCAGCATGGCCTGGTTGCCACAGGGGTTCTCCTCCTGCACGGGGATGGTACCGCCAGGCCTGGGCCATGCTTGCCCTTCTTGTTGTCATGGAACTTAAATCGATTTGGAGGTTTCCCAAAATTAGGGGTACCCTTTTGGGGGTCCCTATAATAAGGACTATAGTATTCGGGGGTCTATATTGGGGTCCCCCCTTATGTTGGGAAAGTACCATTCATCATATTCTGCCTATATTGCAATAATAGGGTTTCCTGAAAGGAACTTCAACAGAGTTATCATACTATGGGTACTATAGTAAAAAAAATGCAACCCAGCCTTTCGAGTTCTAGAGAAGCGGGGGTTGTCCTCCTGGACTGTAAGAATACTAGTTTCAATAGTTCCTTGAGGTTATGCTACAATGAAAATTTGAAATTAATTCCTATAGGGATAGAAGGTTTGAGTAACGGAGTCGCGTTGGGCCCCGGGCTGGATCTGGATGCCGCCTGGCTCCCGGCGTCGTTCTTTGGCGTTCTTTGACGCCTGCTTCAGCTGTTATTTTTTCAAAACAGGGGGTACACCCTAAACTGCAATAGACCCCAGAAGACTAGGATCCCTGATTATGGAGTTCTCCAAGAAAAACACTAATTTGGGGAAATCCTAAACCCTAAATAGTACCTTCCATGTATTTTCCATGATCCCTATATACACCCCATAATTCATATTAAGGAACCCCGAATTTGGGGAAACCCCCAATTTGCGTCACAACTTCTGCATGAAGGGCCCCATCGGGAACCTGAATCCTCAACCCTAAATCCTAAGTAGTTGCTTCCATTTTCTCTTCCATTATCCCTATACAGACTTTATATACCCCAAACCCTAAACCCTAAACCCTAAACCCTAAACCCTAAATTTAGGGCAACTTCTGCAGGAAGGAACCTGATTGTACACCTCCTGGAGGAGTTGCTCGAAGACATGCTTCACGTTATAGGTCCTGAGCGCATTCACAAGTGCTTCCCTAAACTCTAAACCCTAAGCCCTACACCCTAAACCCCCTAAACCCCCTAAACCCCCTAAACCCCCTCAACCCCCCCAACACCCCCCCAAAACCCCCCGAAACCCCCCCTAAACCCCCCTGAGCCCTATTCTTTGCAGTCAGCGGATGGCTGGGCTTGCTGCGTGACAGCACTTGCCTCCTTGAAGAGGAGCCTGGGTGGCATCTTGCTCCAACAGCAACATTAGGGCAATATTAGGCTAATATTAGGGTTATATTGGGGTCATTTGGGAGATAATGAAAAAGAAAATGGAAACTACTATATTATAATGAGGTATATATTGGGGTTATATTGGGGTTATATTGAGTAGCGTTTCTTGGTGGTTGAACCTAGTAAGATTCTATTCCTTATATTGAATACTATACCCCAAAAGGAGGATAGAATCTTACTCTATATTTGGTACCATAGTATCCCCAAATAAAATACTACTCACAAAGGGGTTTAGGGTTTTTTAACCCCGAGGACTTTTACGTCTGCATGAAAATGCACGGGGTCCCAGCCCATCAGAATTAGTCAGCTTGAGTGCCAACAGTCTAGGGCTTAGGATTCAAGGTTTAGGGTTCAGGGTTTCGGGTTTAGGGTCTACATAACCTCAATAGTGGATAATCAAGTGGAAAAGATGATGAAAGATGACATGGAATATGAGATAAAAACCACAATATATTGTGATTCTATAGGGATGTGACCCCAATACTTGAAAATCCGATGGAAAAGGCAATGGAAAATGGCGTGGAAGCTCGCTTGAGCATTGTTGTTATTATTATCAACATACCAGCAAGCATGAGAGCTTGACTTGTGCGTTCGAGCGAACTCCAAAGCAGCATCGTAATGCACCTCGGGCATCGACCCCTAGAAATCGGCGAACTCTGCTTCAAGCACTCAATCCGCCCCTCCTGTCGTGCAGTGGGATCCTTCTCAACCAAGTCGAGTTTGTTCCCAACCTTGGATTGCAAGCTTTGGAAATGAGAAGCTTGCAGTTTCGCAGCAAGCTCTCACTGCCTTAGGCCTGTGCTAGCATGATGATGATATTCGGTTCTGCGTTCTGCCGCAGCTCTTCAAGCCATTTCAGGCCTTCAGTCCATCAAAGTGGATCGTACGTGGGATGCATGCTTTCCGCCAGGGCTACTGCAGTTCTGGAAGGTTGCGTTCCTGGTCACATCCTTAGTGTTACTGGAGATGAGTAGGGAACATGAGAATAATATTCTACAGGGTTATGCGCGGATTATACAGGGATTGTATTCCCTGATTCGCTACTAACCACCAGTAGGCAGTAATCATCATGAACATCTTGCAGCGAGCGTGTTGCCATATTCGCCATCTAAGCGAAGCGCATAGACCAGAAGTGCACCCACAGCGCGACGGTAATGTGAGCCTTGTGAGCACAAACTTCCCTATTATTATCATTACTCTTACTACTACTATCACTACTATGTTTACTACTACTGTAACTGCTATTATTACAATTAGGTCTCATATGTTCATTGCTGTGACTCTACTGTATCAATCAGCTTCAATCTGCCCAGCTCCGGGCTTGTGATTGCTCGGTATCTTTCCTGCCCTGCGGTGTCCCAAATTTGCGCCTGAAGAGAGGCCGGGCTGCTGTCAAGGAACTACAATTAAGATGCCATAGTAGGGGTATGTAGTATATAATACGATTTCCTTATTATAGTGACCCTTAACCCTATATACCCCTATCATGCTAACTTAGTTTAAGCTCCTTAACAGCAAGCCAGGAGTCAAAAGGCAGCAGAATCAGGCTGACAAGCTCCAAGAATCAAAGGGCGCCTTGACCGTACCACCCACAGCCAGGGGGATGGTGCCTAAGATGAACAGAGACACAGCAGAGTCAAAGTAATAGCAATACTAATAGCAATGATAAGCATAATGTTAATAGTAGTAAGAATAATCATACTAAAAAAAATATAGGAATATTCATGTTAATAGTAGCAGTGATAACTGTGGTAATGATGATTATTGACCAATGAAACTGCGAGTGGAGCGAGCGCCATGTCCGGGCAGACGCTGATTTGGTCGAATGCAGCCAATGGGCGTGTGGCAAACTCTACACCGATGGTTGCCGTAGGAGCCTTCGGTAGTGTGCCTGCGGATTAAGGTTTAGGGTTTAGGGTTGCTTCTTCAGGCATGTATGATGCACCTCGTGAGCTGCCATCTGAGCTATAATCTAAACTCCTTGTATTCCCCTTAATATCCCGTATAGTAGTCTCCTATATAATCCCTTCTATAACCGCATTTAAGGAGTTTAGATTATGGCCGATCTAAGCCAGAAACCCAGCCTTTCACATACCGCGAAAGCAAATGTGTCTTTCCCACAGTCGCGTCTCCGACAAGGACAACCTGCAAAAATTGGAACGCGGCTGGACAGTCACTCCAAAGCATGACCGCTAAATTGTGAACCCCAAACCATGACCATGATTATAACATTTACGATTACTAATCTTACTATTACAGCTACGACGGTTTGTATTACTACTATTCCTTCTATTACTACTATTGCTATTATTGCTACGATTGTTAGTATTACCAATAGTATTACTATTATGGCTACTCTTACACCAGCCTTGTCCTAAACCCTAAACCCTAAACCTTAAACCCTAACTGTTACACCAGCCTTGTAGAGGTGGTCGCAGCCCTCATCCTCCTCGGCCATGGCTCAGCGCTGGACACCCAGCAACCAGTGATGAGCCTCAGCTTCCAAAAAGCCAAAGGAAGGTTTAGGGTTAAGGGTTTAGGGTTTAGGGTTTAGGGTTTAGGGCTAAGGGGTTTAGGGTTTACCTGTAACCCCAAAATACCTACAATTTAGTAGCAATTACCCCTGAATTCCTGGGTAGAACCCATGAAACTGCAGGCAATTCGGGTTACAGTCAGGGCTTAGAGCTTACTTGTGGTGTTCAGTTGCCCGGTTTAGGGAAGCAACCAAATTCAAGATTGCATGCTGAGCACCCGGCTGCATGCAGGAATCAGACATGGGAGTGTTCGAGCCGAATGATACATGGCATCGCAACAGAGTCACTGGAGGCATGCTGCTTTAGTGAAGCGCCCGAACTGAGAATGAGTCGCCTGTAACGATCACAAAGCAGTCGGGTAGTTCCCAAAATTAGGGTCCCATTTTGGTTTACTGTAATTATGAGGTGCCGTGGTATAGTCTAGAACCAAAAGGGGTCCAGATTTTTGAGAACAACCCACTTGCGGCGCGGTCTCTTTGATGCCTGCCGACGCAATCTCAAACCTTAGGAGTTTAGCTTGGCAAACTCAGATGCACCTTCAGATTTCGGATGTCCAGCCTGCAGCTCTTACACCAGCCAATCTAAAGATGAAAAAGTCAAAGCTGGCTGGAGATGCATATAGGGATTATGTAGGGTTAAAATAGGGATTTAATAGGGTTAATACAAGGCTATATTGCAACAGAAGTGGCAACTACTTTAGTATACCTGCTGCTTTCGCAGACTGCACGCCTTGGGCTGGATGCAAGAGGCCAGGAGAGCATGGCCTTCGTCGAGAGTTTTAGGGTTTAGGGCCTTAGGGTTGTGCAGTAGCTTAGATGAAGTAGTACCAGTAGTAAACGCAGCAGGAGAAGTAGATGAAGTAGGGTTTGTGTTTCAAGTAGCAGCTTCCATGCTCTTATTGCAGGGTAGCCTCCTTTGTCTTTCCCATTGACAAAAAAAAAAGAGAAAACAGAAAACCAAAGCTACCTGAAGCTGGAAGCTACTCGCTGAAGCCCGGCTCCTGAAAATGGAGATTGATTGGCTCTGCGAAGCCAGCTAGCCGGGGGTCCATGCGCCTGGCTCTCAGGATAAGACGTGTGACAAACTCATGTATGTTAATATGTACAATGCGAAGTATGTGTACCAATATATACATATAGAAGACATATACACATTTCTACTTTTTGTTTGCTGGCATACATGCCGGTAGATATCTCTGTAGCACGAGAATTCAAATTATTTCTGCATTCGTCTACCATTGCTCTTCCTACTACTCTGATGCCTATTGCCCCCGTCACCCACAGGCGAAAAAAAAAGTTGCCCCTTCCTACAGCGCACATCTCTGGGTGAATCGTACACAGCCCTGTTTGCAGATGCTACGGCGTATGTGCAAAGCACATGCCTGAAGTCAATGCCACGGATCTCTGTCTGCAGTACATCAAGCACCTGCAACGCTGGTGTCAAGTTGTCCTCAAGAAGCCGACCATAGAATGCTAGCGTTTGCCATTTTTAGTGAGACCTATAGCGAAACTTTGCTCCTCAACCTCACGTTTGACTCCACTTCGGGAATCTCTTTGCATGAGGCAAGACAAACGAATGCTTCCGGACGCCGCTAAACGGCGGAACGCCCAATGTCAGCTAGAAACTCCCAGGATCAGAGGAAGCAAGATGCCCGCCATCACCGCGGACGATGCTGCGCCATCCTTGGATGTTGCACGGCGTGTTGATATGCAGATGCGTCAAATGCTTCAAATGCTTCAGTACGAAGAGCTCTGCTTTCGACAAACCTTTTTCAAAGGCATGGCTTCATGTATACAATTAAACAAACAGCTATTTTCGCAAATACGTCTGGTGAAGACGAAGACCACACGGCTCGCCCACGGTTACAGCCGACAACTAACGACATCCCGGCCACCCGCATGCTGAACCCCCGAGGGCGCCCTAACCATGCTCGCATGCGGTTGAGTCGCGATGGTCCCTGTCCTGCCAGAGGTGGTGGACGTAAGCTGCGGGCCTGCCCCGGGCGTCGTGGTGATCGTGGCCACGCCCCTGCGAACCTGATCTTCTGATCTTGCGAGGCACAGCGTGCTCCCAGCCATGTGTCAAAGGGGCCTGGCCTCCATCGCAACAGGGCAGGCGCCACGCGAATCCTCCAGTTCCCACCAGACAGACAGATCAACAGACAGACACCTTAAGTGCAAGGTGATAGTCTTACTGCAGTTTAAGACAGAGCAGCCCTAGAAACTGACGAGACCATGCACATTATGATCTACAAGCCCCAATATGAACACCAGTTTCTGTTTTATTTAAACCCTATACCTTAAACTCTAAATAAACCCTAAACTACAAACCCTGAAGCCCAAACCGCTGTCCTTGGAGGCCCCTCCAGCACAGCTTGTGCAGTCGAGGTTGGTGGGCCCCGCACACGAAAGGCACGCGGAGGAGCAAAGTAGGCAGCGGCCAATGGAGGCCTGTCAGGAAACAACAGCTCTAATGCTACTACTTCTGGGTTTAGTAGTTATATGAGAAAAGGAGAGCTTTTGGCAAACCAGCTGGACACGCACCTCAAAGTAGGCTTCGCTGCCTTGGGTTCTTCAAGCACCACAAAACCGGGTAGCTGGTAAGGAACGTAAACTAAGTTACCATAATTAGAGAAACCCTCTAATTTACTGTAGATCCACATTATGGTAGATCAACTTAAGTTTCATGACAACCCTAAACCCTAAACCCTGAACCCTAAACCCTAAACCCTAAACCAGAAAAGCATCCCATGGTCAGCTCTGCATGCATTCCAGGTGCTACAAGAGGCCGCCGTGACCGGCGAGGTTGCTTCGGCTTGAATGCAGATGGAATCCATCAAACGAGACCCATCCACAGCCGCCCCCAGGTAGATGCTCTTACCTCATTCAATATAACCCCAATATACTTTGGTAGTTTCCATTTTCTTTTCCATTCTCCCTATCTATACCTAATATTCACCCTATTTCAATATAGTAGCTTCCATGTTCTTTTCCATTATCCCCATATTAACACCAAAATACCCCCTATATAACCCGAGTTGGGAGCTTGTGTCAAAAGCCAGTGTGAAGTCTGCTTGCATCTTCGGCGCTCACGCCATTCACCGTGAAAGTGGACTTAGAGGTGCTCCTCAGGCAGCCACCTGAGCACTTCAACGTCCCTTGCCACTGGACCAGTGGCAAGGCTTAGCCAAGAAGAGAAGGCTTTTTGATGCCAAGCTGCTGCACAGGACAGGATCTGTCACGGCCACGCCGTTGATCTCATAGTTCCCAGTTTCTTGAACGCAAGATGTGCAGCACATCAGGGCTGTGCAAAGATGTCCAGATGCTTCGCCACGAGAGCCAGTGGCCACATCCCTGCACTGAGCTCTACCCAAAATGTGCTTCTCCATACTTGTGCATGATATGCTGCATGCTTCTAGAGGTCACAGACATGCTGGCCTGTTAGCGAAGGGCTTCTCCCCTGCAGTCTTCTCGTTGCACTGCTCGTCCAGGCTGGGGAGGCACACGTTCGCGTAGCAAGTGGAGGGCCTAAGTGCGTTTTCCAACCAGCTCTGAAGCAATGTTGCGGCGTGTTGTTCTCCTTTTGGTGTAGGACACCGGAGAAACCCCAATCCTGCTTGTAATTCGTGCTCTACGGACGGCAACTCGAAGCATGTACCGCAAGTTCTCAGGACACGAAGCTCCCACGAAAAGCTGGCAACAGCGGTAACGACTGAGTGGACGGCACACTGTTGCTCGTACACGCCGACCCCCATGGCTTTCCCACGTCTGGCGGGCAAATAGCCGATGACCCGGAGCACACCTTTCAGTTGATCATCCAGCATTCCCAAGGACACTGTGCTGAAATCTGCCAGCCGGTAGTTTTCATGTTCTTTGTCCATTACTATCCCTACATTACGCCCATATAAACCCAGTTTCCATTTTCTTTTCCATTATCCTTATATAGCCTCAACATACCATTATACTATATAGTAGTATGACCCTGCCAAGCAGCCTCCGCTAGGTCGCACTCTCCCAAGGCGGCCCGGCAAACCGTCCCAGCAGGCCGCAATGCGCACGTGGCTGGGTCACAGCACCTTGGCACAGGTACATAGGGTTTAGCGGGTTTAGGGGTTTGGGGTTTAGGGGTTTAGGGGTTTATTACGGTTTGGGGCTTGGGGTTTAGTACAGACAGCACATCTTGCATGGCCTTCACAAAGGACCTAACCCGAGTTTCCATGTAATGTTAAATGTTCTTTTCCAGTTGATTCTCCATTTTTTAAGGGGTAATATCCGCATTCTTCCTGGTAAAAGCCATTCTCTACCCCACTATATTATAAATATATATGTGTATATATATATATAAGATGGTAGTTTCCATTGTTGAGCCCTATATCCTTTCTGTTGTCAACGAGACACGCATCGGTCCCTGCGCATGCGCTTCCAGCTTTCAACTTGCAGGTGGCACAGTCGCAGCAGGGATCCTGGGCTGCTGTTAACGGGGTTTAGGGTTTAGGGTTTATATGGGGTTTAGGGTTTAGGGTTTATATGGGGTTTAGGGTATAAGGTTACTATGATAAGAAGAATAAGAATAGCAAACGTAACAATAATAGTAAGGAAACCCCATCAGTTAAAGGTGGGTACAGCTTAAATGGCTTAGGGTTACGGGAATATTCCATTATCCCTATATATATATATACCCATTATGGTAACTTAATTTAAGTTTCTTAACAGCAACCCAGGGTCTGCAGCTGCACCGGCAGTGCCGCAGTCGCAGTTCTCGCCGTAGTCGATGCCCCCGTTGCCGCAGAGGGCTACCACCTTACTGGTGCTTAAGGGAGTGGGGCAGTGGATCCTCATTACACTAATCCTTGTATGAACCCCTAAAGCCTAAACCGATTATGAATTACGTGGACCCCTCCACCTGTAATAGTGGTATAGTAGGAACACCAGAGGACCCTAATATACTCACTATTATGCCCTACAGTCGCTGTTACCGGGTGGGGGTTCACCTATATGATACTATACTCACTCCCCTACTCTCCCTTCCCAAACCCTAGTACCCCAAACCCTAAACCCACTATATCCCTATAATCGTACCCCAAACCCAAAGCCCACTACATCCCTATAACAATAGTCCCCACATTCACTCCGCAACTTCCTAAACCCAACCCCGCCTCAACCCTAGACCCCTAAACCCTCAACCCCTTAACCCCAAACCCCTAAACCCTAAACCCTAAAAACCCCTAAACCCCTAAACCCCTAAATCCCTAAGTCTCCCTTAAAGCACCAGAAAAGCCACGGCCAGGCTGGAGGGACGCTCGCATCCGCCCTGGAAGCACATGCCGCCTCGCTGGCCCTTGGGCTCACTGGGATGCCAGCCTCAGAGGTTTAGAGGTGTAGGGGTTTTAGGGGTTTCGGGGTTTAGGGTTTAGGGGTTTAGGGGTTTAGGGTTTAGGGTTCAGGGTTAAGGGTGTAGGGTTTAGGAGTTTAGGGGTTTAGGGTTTCGGGGTTTGGGGGTTAGGGTAGCAGGGAATGAAGGAATGGAAAAGAAAGTGGCAATTACAGTGTTCTTTGGATAATGGAAAAAACGATGGAAACTACCATAATTGGTTAAGGGCTTAAGGTTTAGGGTCTGGGAGGAATGGCATAGAAAATGGAAACTACTAGAATTTGCTATTAGGGACTACTATAAGGATCCATTCCTTCATAACAGCTAACCAAAGGCCTAAGAGATAGTCGCAATGATATGACTAATGGCTACTTGCAAATATTGGAAAATTATAAGAAGAGTAAAGACAATATTAACAATAAGAATAGCAATAAGGACAAGAATGATAGCAATCAATGATCTTAACGCTAATATATGGCAATGATGTTGACCATGATAATTAAAAAGAATAGCACAAGCGCAGAGATTGCTCGACAAAACACACGAAATGCATACAAGCAGCAAGGCGTTCCATCAGGAACCGCCATGTGTGATCCGTGAACACCTCAGCTCAGGCTGACTCGCTGCATTCCTCGTCCTGATTGCAGTGCATCCAAAAAACTGAAGCGCTGCCCACACTCTGTTGCCGAACTCTGAGAGGCGTCATGGCACCTGCTCACGCTGAACAGCGTACCGGCTAAGAAAAAGTACAAAGAAGGCGGCCATCCGCTGGACAATGGATGCAGGACATCTGGAAATGGTACTGGGGCTCTTACACAACAGTGCTGCAATCATCGTTGAAGCTCACACACGGCTCCGTCAGATCCCACGTGCCATCAAAGTCCCGAGTCACGTCCACTTCACAAGTGTAGCGCATGCTTTTGCAGCTTCCCATGGCACATAGACCAGTGTAGGTGACACCATTCGCAGTGACACTGCAACTTGCCCCCGGGTATGCGTACTCATCCTTGCAATTTGAGGTAGTGTTTCAGAAGTTGGCCTAATGGCCATTTGCTGGCACTACTCAGACAAAAGCATGGTCCGTCCTTGGGACAGCTCGAGGTCCCGCCGGGACAGACTTCTGCAAGGTCACAGGTGTTCCTGGCAGGCCTGGCATCAGGGTTAGGGTTGCAGGGATTAGGATGGTTCAGGGTTTAGGATTTAGGATTTAAGGGTTTTGGAGCTGCAGGGCTTTTAAAAAGGGTCGAGTCGGAACCTGCAGGACTTCTGGGCCGACGCGGAGACGTTCTTGCAGTTCCTTGCAGAGGGGTTGAGGGTTTCCCATTAAGTAGATAGAATATGGCTCTGGGTATATTATAATAAGATCCCCATATACCCCATATTCTATCTACTTAAGGGGGGCTATAGGCCCTATAGGGTTTAGGCAGGACATGCCCTCGGGATGGTGCTTGTCATATTGATGGAAAGGGGGGGAATTCCACCAAGATGGTGCAGCTTCCTCTCCCAAGATGACGGAAGACAAAGGCCTACTGCTGAATTTAGCATGAAACATGTGGGGGTTTCCTGTGGGGGTCCCTATAATGAGTATTGGAGTATTTGGGGGTCTGTATATTGAGGCCCCCGGCTATTTGGAAAACTACCGTATGTTAGCTGGATGATGTCGTTTGCCTCTCGACTCGAGATCACCAGCACATCTCGGCTTCATGCAAGAATAGTTATCCCTAAACCCTACACCCTAAACCCTCGAAGTGTCCCATTTCTAGCTACTCTTATCAGTCCACAGCGGGCTACCTTTCTTTGGCAGCAACTACAGAGCACCCCAGAGTTTACCGTCTGTGGGCTCAGCGGCCACTTTCGTGATTGTATCGCTGCAAGTTTCATCATAACGAATCATGTTATGCGACAGCTCATCCCTTCAAAGAATTCTGGTGAAACCTGCCTGGCGTCAGCCCCCAGCCTAGAGAGCTTGGGGAAAGAATTCAAAGGGATGCTAGCTTACACTGCTTGCTGCCGGGAAGCTCACAACAAGGGCCCACCGAATCGCTGCACTCATAGCTGGGATCCAGGAACTTGCAAGTTGTGCCGTCACAGCACCTAAGCTGGGTTGCTGTTAAGGAACTGAACTTATAAACTATGATAACAAGGACAGCCTATTGAAATGGGTATGATAACTTAATCGAAGTTCCTGAGCAGCAACCCAGTCAGGGCTCCGAAGACCGTTTGGCAGTTTGTGGCACTATGCTGGAATTCATGATGATCGTATGTTATTCAAACCTTGGTCGCCTCTACTGTCAATTTTCCGCTTAGCTGTGGGAGCATATCATGCTCGACTAGCAGTGTACATCATGTCCAGGTGAAACGTTAGTTCTGCCCAGCAAACACACTTCAACACTTCCATGCACTGGCAACACAATGCTCCTTGAGCTATCATGAATGGTTTAATAAATGTCAAAAAAACGCTTGCTGAAAATGTGTGGATTCATTGAATGCTCAGAGCAATATGCACCAGTTCTCTACAAGCCCTCAAACTCAACTGGGGTCCTTGAGCTTTTTCCAGCTTCATCAACAAACTGCTGTTCATTTTAAAGCACAACTCTTTGCCTTGAGCTGAGGCGCGGGTCATTGCAGGGGGAGCCGCAATCGCAATCCTCGCCATCCTCGCGGAAACCATTGCCGCAGACCTCATCCCAAGATGCCAGATTCCCATATGAACTATAGTCTAAACTCCTAGCATCCCCCTTAATAATCCCCACAATACTCCCCTATATAACCCTCCCCTGAGTGCCCCTAGAACCCTCTGAGGCAAGGTACAGGATCACCAAACACCTTCAAGGGCTTGTTCTCCAGGCACTCCGAATTCCTGACATAGACCTGGCACCAGGGCTCTGAAGGTTTCAACTTAGCAGCCAGCCGGCCAGCAGCCAGGGCAGGGTTCAGGGTTTTAGGGTCTAGGGTTTAAGGTTCAGGGTTCAGGGTCTAGGGTTGAAGGTTTAGGGTTTGGGGTTTAAGGTTCAGGGTTTAGGCGCCAGGCCTCGGAGAAGAAGGTCGTGATGTGAGAAACGCTGCAGCCTGTGAATTGAGTGGCGGCGTCGCCAGTGCCTTCCAGATTCAGAAACTTTGGCTTACTGGTGATTAGTAGTGAACAAGGTAACATATAGTCCCTATATAATCCCTTAACCTTAAACCCTAAACACCATGTTCCCTTACTTCCCTGCTAGCCCCCAGTAAGTTGGGACTTCAAGCAAACTCGTTGGCGGCTGCAGATGCCTACGGCTTCCATGATGAAGCCGGAGTCTGGACACTCCGGCGACCCCGAGTCGTGGGACATACCAAAGTTGTGGCCCATCTCCTCAGGCAAGCGATAGTCTCAACTCCTTAAAAAAAGGCTTCTAGAAGGGATTATATAGGGGGCTACTTAAGGGGGTTTAAAAGGGATACGAGGAGCTTAGACTATGGCTTAGGTGACTGCACGCTTTCAAAGGGTGCTGTTGACATTAGCTTCAGGTCTGCAAAATGCAAACAAATGCCTTCCGTGCCACATAGACCGTCAACTTCTTGCAGTATAGCGACATGTGCCACCACAGCAGCGCACTGAGGCACGTCGGCACTGTTCATGCCACACATGTTGATGGACCCCGACCTCTCAAAAATGCCATGCAAAAAAAAAAGCATCTCTGCTACCTCTTTCTCCGTCCTGGCCACATCGCACATGGAAGACACTGGCGCCTTAATTTCAAGTCAGGACCATCACGGATTGATCTCAAGCAAGAAAGTTGCTGAGAGCCATTCGAAACCGACGGTGCTGCCCAGGAGATCGCGACCCGTCAGCAGCACCTTTCTGGTAGAACGCGATCTCAGAGTTTCCCCTTGGACTCTGTAGGTCCTACAGAGCCGAGGCGGCCCTCTCCCAAGTGTATAGTCCCCCTTAAGTAGATAGAATATGGCTTTGGGTAAATTACTAATGAGATCCCCATATACCCCATATTCTATCTACTTAAGGGGGACTATACCCTTTTTGGAAACAGAGAGGCTAACTAATCTTTCAGGCTCTCTGAAATTTCTTGCTGCTGTATGCTATTCATGGTCACGGCAGCGGCCAGCAACAATCACACCTGTTAGCATCCTGCACATTACGCCCCATAAAATACAATTGTCATGCAGGGGGGACTCCGTACCCTCATCACCTAGGCACACTGGAAATTTAATCATGCACGCTGGGTACGGGGGGGCCAAAGTCCATTAGCCAAAGGCCCCTCAAGGTTCTTTGTAAACAGGTTTAGGGTTTTGGGCTTAGGGTTTAGGGTTGCTTTGACATCAACGGCTCACTTTGGCTCTATGACTGAGGCATAGACTCGGTTGTCATTCTCAGGCAAGGATCCTCCAATGGCTTGGGAAACATCTCAAGCAGTAGCCTAAACCCTATATAAACCCTAGATAAACCCTATATGAGATTTAGAAGAGACATTCGTATAAGCCCTACATAAACCGTGAACCCTATAGACACACCCATGCTGTGAGGAATTGTCTGCCTGCAGCCATCTGTGCAGAGCTCCAGGTGAGGAAATCCTCCAACAGCACTGCCTCAGCTGGCCATGGGCACAGAAGGACGGGAACGCACGGGGACCAGGATGAACTGAATTGCCGAAAAGTGTCCTGGTCAGCCTTGTCGGGATAGATTTCAGGAGGAGACACAAAAAACGGAGCCCTTCCGGTGAGCCTCGGCATTGGCTTGGAAGTTGGAGTGCCAGGGATCCTCCTCAAGAAAGGTGTGCTGCGCGACCAGCACCACCTCAGCGAAAAGCAGGGTCGGCTGCTCTTGGAGTCATGCAAGGCGATCGCCGATTGCCTGGACAGTGTAAGGGAATGATCCACTTGTGGGAGATGCACCTGAGGTGACCAGCCAGCACTCTCGAAAAGCCGAACGTACAGTCCCAACCAGGGCACGGTAGATGGTTGTGACAGCGTTGAGCACCGACACCGTGTGGGCGGCCAGGGCATCTAGACCCGACTGCCCTCCGAAAGCCGTGTACCTAGAGAAGTCGTTCACCGCCAAGACCTCAGCAAACGCTCACTTCATGTGAAATCCTCAAAATGAGCTCCTAAGAGATGGTCTGACCATGCGGGTAGGCCCGCGGCCTCCACATACTTCGTTGAGCCACTCAACCTGCCAAGTGAGCTGCTCGACTCAACTACGTGACTTGCTCTCAACTTCAAAAAACAACGCCACCAAAAAAAGGCCCTAAACCCGAAACCCTTCATCACCGAGCTTTCTTCAAGCTGTTAGCATGGCTGGACACACTCTACAAGCCTGCCTGCGGGGTGAGCGCAAAAAGCGGTGGACCTGGCAAGCCGGGCACATATATTGGGTTATGTCTACCCCAACATTGGAAAAGAAAATGGAAACTACTATATCATTATGGGGAATATACCCTACACCCTAAACCCTAAACCCTAAACCCTAACCCATTATAGTAGTTTCCATTTTCTTTTCCATTATCCCCATATAACCCCAATATACCCATAAACCCTTGACCCTAAAAACTCTAAACCCTAAACCCTATACACCCTAAACTCACACTCAAAGCCTGCTAGAGGCTGCGAGAAGCTCACTGCACTGGGACACAGACTTCCTGGAGCTCCAAACCGCTGAGGCTCCTGAGCCTGTGTTCCCCCTTAGCACACGGCGGTTTAGGGTTTAGGATTTAGAGTTGTTAGGGTTTAGGGTTTAGAGTCTTTAGGGTTTAGGGTTTAGAGCTTTTAGGGTTTAGGGTTTAGAGTCTTTAGGGTTTAGGGTTTAGAGTTTTTAGGGTTTAGAGTTTTTAGGGTTTAGGGTTTAGAGTTTTTAGGGTTTAGGGTTTAGAGGTTTTTAGGGTTTAGGGTTTAGAGCTAAGGGTTTAGGGCTTAGCGTTCTTAGGGTTTAGGGTTTTTAGGGTTTAGGGTTTCGGGTCTCAAGAAGTCTTCGGAAGTCCCTTGTGAAACGCGTAAGGATGCGACGCCTCCGGAGAGTTTCCTGCCATCCTCTTCTGAGAATGGGGCTTGCACCTGGCCCGAGCTCTCTTTTATCCTACTATTACTATTGCTAGTATTCTTATTCTTATTTGTATCTGTATCTAGATTATGGCTTTTTGTAAAGTTATTTTTAACTACAAGTACTACTTTCTTGTTACTAATATTACTATTCTGCCTCCATCGCCCTAAACCCTAAACCTTAAAACCTGACCCCTAAACCCCCAACCCTAAATCCCAAACCCTAAACCCCAAACCCTAACCCCCCTGAACCCTAAACCCTGTGCCTCCAGGCTGGGATCGAGCCATAAAGTCTGGTTTTTCCGGATGATCATTCCTCAGAGGATCCGCAGACACTTGCACCCAACTTACTGGGGAAATGTTATAATTACAGGGATTATATAAGGATTAAAAGACGATTACATACATATGTGTATGTATATATAGATAGATAGATGTGTATATATATATATACATATGTATGATATAGGCTTTTGGGGGGGGAACATGTCCCCTTATTCCTTTACTAACCACCAGTAAGCCAGACAGCTGGATCTTAAGTCTCTTGCCGGAAAGACTGCCACCGCAATTTGCCAAGGCGACGCTGGAGGCTTCGCCCAACACCTGCAATCAACCACAGCCACGCCTAAACCCGAAACCCTCAACCTCTAATCCCCTAAACCCCTAAACCCTCGCCCTCAACCTCGAAACCTCTAAACCCTCAACCTCGAAACCCCTAAACCCCGAAACCCATAAACCCCTAAACCCCAAGATCAGGACAGCTTCCTGCGGGTCGTGTAGTTGCCAGGCTCCCTACGCTGCTGGTGTGCGAGGTGAATTTCAATGGCTCAGAATTACAATGTTTCAATGCTTCGCTCGCCTTCCCGTCACCATCTAGGTTCTCCTTTCCGAAGACTTTTGTTGGTTTCATGCTGCAGGTTTTGCAACAGTTTCTACAATCGCATAATCCCTGATTCGGACATCAAGTGATCCAGACGGCTGACAAGGCTTTGCGCAAGATGAAAAAGCGTTACGTCCGTGCGGCATGAACTACCAAAATTATCTCGCATGCGGCTTCCTGGAACTACTGACGTTCCAGACAGGTACAGATCACTGCTTGCAATGCTGCAATACTCGAGAAGTGCTTGAAGCGTCTGAGACAAGCTGCAGGAACAGAACAAGCCATGAACTCAGGAAACTTTGCTGCAGCCGATACAGGAACTGACGGCCTCTCCAACATAGAAGCAGTTCTCCGGCAAAGGAATCACCTCCACAAATGCAAACACGGCTTTGCAGGTGCTTGCAACAGTGACAGGCCTCCTGCCGGTCGCGGTAGTGCAGAACCTACATGAAGCCCAAAGCTGTCATCCATCTCTGACATCTTGTCCCATCAAAGAAGAATCTAAGAGACTTACATGTTGTGCCGTTGTTGGCATCAGTGCCCGATTGTGCCAGAGGCGGAGCCGTACCGTAGCCGTCGGAAGGAGGAGCTCCACTTCGAGCTCCGGCCCCGCTCCTGCCAGAACCCAGAGTGTGACGAGAACCCTTCCTGGAAGCCTAAGAAAGTCCTAGCCACTGCACAATATCCACAAGATCAGATCGCCCATAATTATGTTCTATATACTTACTTCCCTGCGATGCTTTACGCCTCTCCTGATCTCTTGCGAAATGCCTTGAATCCCCTATGCAGCCCCCTTGCCCCATGCAGTGGCGCGCGACTAGAGGCTTGAAGCCTGCATCGAGCCGTCTGCTCCAGGAAACTTGCACCCGCTGCACATCCTGGGCGGCTACAGGCCTCTGAGTGTGTGCTGAAAGTAGGATCCCCATGTGGGGGGCCCCTACATGAAGTATAAACTTTATGGGGGCTCCACGACATGATGCAGCCGAGATTCCTGGGACCTAACAAGCGCGGTAAGCAGTAGAGCAAGCGCGGGCGCATTGCGCACGTGCATCACCCGAGTTCGGCTTAGTGGCATAGCTTTGACTGATGTCCACATAGGCTTTATATGTCGCGCAAACCCCAGATCCAATCCTGCATAGAGCGTATGTTTTCTTGTTGCTGCTACAGCTGCCTCCGTTGTCGGCTAGCGTAAGGGATACCTGAAGCATCCTAAAGCCTGAACCCTACATGTTCAACCTGACTGACATACTAGTTCCCATTTCCTTTTCCATTCCTATATACAAGCCTCTCATTACGATGCAACATTGAGCAAGCGTTGTCGCTGCGAGCAACAGGTTTGGCTTTCTCAGGCTAATCTCATGCTCAGGAAGGGGGGAAATTGGGCTGTATGAGCTAGAAACAGGGATTTTACAAGGACTACTACATGGATCCTGTTTCTCATTTCCCGCTCAGCGTCAGGTAGTCTTCGTGCACCATGTTGGCAAGAACATGTGATGCTTCGCGGCATGGTTTGATTCTGAGTTATCTTGAATCGCAACTCATGCTCTTGCTCAGGATGTGATCAGACAAACACCGGCGCAGATCTTCCCCCAAACCCTAAACGCCCAAATCAATCTAGACTATAGCCCACATCAGGGACCTGATCGATGGTCTCGTCAGCAAAGATGACCTGCGCAGCACAGACCCGGAGCCTCAGCAGTGCGTAGTAGGGGTTTAGGGTTTTGGGTTCTTAGGGCTTAAGGTTTAGGGTGCTTTCAACTGAAAATAGTGATAATATGAGCAAAAATGCCGTAATTGTACCATTAGCGTGTATGAATATTATGAAGGAAAAAACCGTAATCGTGCTAGCACAAATAATTACTTGGGGATTCTGAGCCCCATACCCATCTGCCAGGCGACACTGGAGCACCACGGCAAAGGAGAAGCTGAACAGGTCATCATAAACAACAGCTGCGAAGGGTTTAGGGTCTAGGTACTTATTGGGATAATATAGGGATAACGGAATATACTAGAATATAGGGTTTAGGGTTTAGGGTCTAGAGTCTACGGTTTAGGGTGGAACATGGTAGTTTCCATAAACAGGAGAACCCCAAAATAGCCTGCCAAAATACCGTAATCCTTACTGTACAAACCCCGACATAGGTACCTCTAATTTTTTGGGGAAACTCCAAACGTCACGCGCACCTCGGCAACCACCAGGTTTCTCCCATGCTTCTGTACAGACCTTCGGAGACCTTGCGCACCAAGCGCGCTCTTTCTGCAGTGTGACTGGAAGGCAAAATGGAAACTACTAGAGTGGATAATCAATGGAAATGAAAGTGGATAATCAAATGGAAACCAAGGAGTATGTAGGATGCATAGGGGAAAGAAAAATGGAAGCTACTATATCATACGTGGTTTCCATGTTCTTCTTTCCGCTATCCAGGCAGAACCCAGCCAAGGATGCCAGCCTCCGCATGGAGCACCAGTGGCAGCACGGGCAGCGACCTTTTCAACAATCGCTAAACCCTCAACCCCTAAACCCTAACCCCTAAATCCTAAAACCCTAAACCCTAAAACCCTAAACCCTAAAGTCTAGGGTCCGCTGAACCCTCAACCCTAAATGCTGCAAAATCAACCTTCCCGAGGCTCACACCCCTCAATGGACGAGGCCATGAAGCCTCAGAAGCCAGAAACACCCAGCAAAAGTGAAGGCATTACATCCCAAACCCAATGATCCCCCAGTTTACATGGCAAGTTTCCATATTCTTTTTGATTTGATTCTCGATTATAGGGGGAT